ATACTGAAAATGTGTAGTTCTATTTAAACCTATGCTCTGAATTCTACAATGCATCTTTTGTAGGAAAAAAATGTTGAAATATGCTCCTTAGATTCGTAAAACAGCGCCTTTAGCAACTTTCGTTTGGGATAAAAGTTTCGGAATGCAAAATTAGGGCTTTTATCTAACTAGTTCGTCACAAGGTGTCGACTACATCGGCTGGATCCCCTTAAAGTGTTTATGTTTCCGATTCAATTCAGCTTAGCAACTAAGTGAATCACGACCGTGGGACACGCCATTAGATCTATCCAAGCTATCGTTAGTGTTTATTGCTCTTTCGCCTAGTTAACTGGCGTAACTACGCCACTCTCAATCATTCCAGAACGATATAACTACTTAGCCATATACCTATTAGTTTCTACCGCTCGTTCCGTTGTCAAACGACGTCTGCCATTCAAAAACGACCAAATGCTATGGTAACTGATTCCAATAATAATAAATGGAACGATGAACTGAAAAGTCACAATTGTTAACAAGATTTCTATAGCACATATATTTGAAAAGTTTACCTGTAAAGCCATAACTATAACTCCATAGATGCTCTTAATTCTCTTCAGTGACCAGTCCTCTCCACACACCCAAAAATTGCAAGGTTCGGTAATGAATGTTAGCCTCATATGGTAGGCATATGGCATAACCAACAGCAGTGACAACAGCCATATAAGAGTCACAACCAGTATACAAGTCTGAAATGTTTGTTATTTTTAAATATAGGGTTTTGTGTAGAAAAGTTTATGATTACCCTCATCGACATCCTGTCATTAATGTTCATAGAACTGGAATGATGAACAATAACAAAGTAACGGTCCATAGCGATAGCCATCAATGTTAGCGTACTTATAAAAATACTTGTACCTAAATTATAGTTGTCAATGTGCATCAAAATCCTTACCAAGTTTTATAGAATTTCGGGAACATTCTCATTCCCTTTTTTCTTTATCGCTTTCAATGAATTAGTCAAAAAGTTGAACTTTTGAAATTGTAGGGAAAGTTTCTAGTTTTTTTTTTG